CTATGCGAAAAAAAATGTCAGTTCTTTATTCAACCAATTCCTTTGAATACCAGGAACTAGACAAAATTGGGCTGGCATCAATTTTCACATTTTTTAATAAGTGTAATTAAAAATGTAATTTTTTCTCTTTCCCAATCCTATTTGTCCGCTGCTTTTTCAAAATGGCTAGGTTATTAACCGAATTACTAGGAAAATATTGCAAGAATAAGAAGAGAGACCAAAATCCTAAACTAAAACGGGTTTTTCCCCAATTTTTTCTAAATCTAGTAAAGCATCACGCAAAACAATAGCCCGGTCAAAACGAAATTCCCGCGTGGATTTTTTCATTTGCCGCCGTAAATTTTTCTGTAACTTTAACAACTCTTTTTCGCTCATTTCTCCTCGTTGAGCTTTTTCTACCAAAACAGCTATAGTTGGGTCCAAAACTATATTCTTAACCGGCTTTTGAATAGTCTGAGGAATAATATTGTTTTGTAAATTATGAGCTTTTTGAATTTGACGACGACGGTCAGTTTCCTGGATAGCACCTAACATATTTTTCGTCTTCTCGTCAGCATAAAGAATGACCTTGCCGCTTTTATTCCGTGAAGCCCGGCCAATTATTTGAATTAAAGACCGGGTATCCCGCAAAAATCCGGGCTTGTCGGCATCCAAAATACAAACCAAAGAAACTTCCGGCAAATCAATTCCCTCTTTCAACAAATTAATCCCTACAATCACATCATAAACCCCACGCCGTAAACTAGTAATCGCCTGATAACGCTCAAAAATTTCTAAGCGGCTGTGTAAATATACTACCCGAATATCTTTTTCGCGGAGATAACTAGCAATTTGCTCGGACATGACGATAGTCAAAGCATAAATAAGCACTTTCTCCCCTCGACTGGTTTTCTCAGTTATTTCTCGCATAATATCTGTAATCTGGTTAACGGAACTCCGCACTTCAATTTCCGGGTCCAAAAGCCCCGTCGGACGGATAATTTGTTCGACCGGCTGGTGATTTACCTTAGCCATTTCAAAATTGCCGGGAGTAGCCGAAACATAAAGAGCGTAATTGAGTTTCTGAAAAAACTCTTCTTGGTTGAGAGGCCGATTATCCAAAGCCGAAGGTAAGCGGAAACCGTATTTTACCAAGGTTTCCTTGCGTCTTCGGTCGGTATTATACATGGCCCTAACCTGAGGAATAGTAATGTGCGACTCGTCAATAATAGTTAAAAATCCCTCCGGAAAATGATCTAATAAGACAAAAGGAGTTTCGCCTGGTTTTCGACCATCAAAATACCGGGCATAATTCTCAATGCCCGGACAAAAACCCTGGTCTCTTAAATCTTGTAAGTCTTGGCTAGTACGGACTTCTAATCTTTCGGCTTCAAGAAATTTCCCTGCCCGGGCCAATTCTTCTTTTCTTTCGGCTAATTCTTGTCTAATCTTAGCAAAAAAGTTTTTTTCTGAGGCAATTACTAACTCTTCTCCCTCCTTAACATAACCAGCAGCGTAATCCCGAGCCTGGGGAATGGCAATTTCTGATAAACTCGCAACCTTCTCCCCCATTTGCTTGTTCCACCTTTCTATTTGCTGAACTTTGTCATCATTGATAACTATCCGAAAATAATAATCCTCCTCCCAACCCAGCATGAAAAAAATATTATCCTCTTCCTTCCGATAATTACCACTATTAAGATTTTTTCCCTCCTGATAACCACGATGGAATAATTTTGCTAGAATTTTTTCGGTGCTAATCTCCTCATCGACTTTTAAATTAAATATTGCTTTGTGATAAGAAGCGGGATTAGAACAACCATAAATCGCGGCTACTGAGGCCACTACGATTACAAAATCATCTGTTCACAAAGAATTTAGTGTTTTCAGCCGCATTTTGGCAATACTAGCGTTGCGTTGAACTTTCTTGCTAATATAAGTATTACTCTCGGGTTTGTAAGCCTCCGGCTGATAATAATCAAAATAAGAAACATAGTATTCTACCTTATTATGCGGAAAAAAGCCCTGCATTTCCTGGTAAATTTGCATAGCTAAGGTCTTATTATGAGCCAAAATTAAAGTGCTTTTTTGGGTCTGTTGAATAATATTAGCCATGGTAAAAGTCTTACCTGTGCCGGTGGCTCCTAATAATACTTGTTCTTTTTGACCTTGCTGGATGCCCCGAACTAGCCTTTGAATGGCTTTCGGTTGGTCTCCGCACGGAAAAAAGTTAGTTACGAGTTGAAACATTTATAAACATTTTAAGTAGGGGAAAAATGTTTAAACTTTTCCGCGGCGGGGATTTTTTTTAACCGTTTCTTCGGAGCGGAAGTTGGAGTTTTTTTTTAGTGGTAAAATTTAGCGGAGAAATTCTTGCCAATAACTCTTATACTTCTCTTGTAAATGTTGGGCTAGAGAAGAAACATTAATCCGCGTTTGCTTCATATTATCTCGTTCCCGCAAAGTAACAGTTTGGTCTTGGAGAGTTTGCCAGTCCACCGTGACGCAATAATAAGTGCCAATTGCATCTTGTCGGCGATAACTCTTACCAATACTACTATCGGCCTCGTAAGTCACGGCAAAATTAATTTCCCTTAGTAATTCTTGGTAGATTTGGTGAGTTTTTTCTTGGAGTTGTTGCCGAGAATTCAAAGGAATAATGGCAACAAAATAAGGGGTCAACAAAGGATGTAATTTTAAAACTGTTCTCGTTAAGCCTGAAGTTGTTGTTTCTTCGTGATAGGCATCCTCCAAGATGGCTAACATTAATCTTTCTACGCCAAAAGATACTTCAATTACTTCTGGAATAATCCCATTAACCCGCAAGTCTTTTTGAGAATGTTGGCTATGTTGAGATAAATCATAATTTCCCCGGTCGCTACTGCTACACAATTCCCCCCATCCAAAA